CGAAAATCATGTCTTCACAACCCAATCCCCCCACCCTCCTTTCTTCTCCAATTGTCATTATAATATCTTTTCAAACATCTGCACAGCTTTCTCCCTCCTCCTACACCACTGTGATGTTTTTCTTTGCATATCTGTCATGCGGTGATGTTTTAGTAAGAGTTTTACGGGGCTCGCAACTGCATATGGTCATGTGAGTGCACTGTCTTGGTAAAGGTTTCTGTATTCCCTTATGGGATTTTAAAGCTTAACATTAAAAAAATCTCTAAAAACAGATGGTTTGTCGGTCTCAGTCTGTTTTACCAAGAAATTACACACTGGGCTTTTCTTTTAGATACCACTGTTTGCAGTTGTCCTTGGTTCTCAAGTACAAAATTTAAAAGTATTTCTGAAACAAACTACATTATATACATATTTTTTTTGTATAACAGAAATTACTATTCAGACAGTGATGGTATCATTGAAATTTTTTAGTTCCTTATTTGTACAGTAGTAACTAAAAAAAAATTAATTAAGAAACACAAAAAAAGAAATTGACTGTATCTCAATTTAATTGTATCGCATGGTGCAATTTGTGCTTAGTCTCCCCCGCCCCCCCCAATTTCATAGAAGTGCGTGTGTTTTGGCAGGCCTGTAACCTTTCTTCGTCAGGATTGTCTTTTAAAATGTGAAATGTGTATAGCGCTGGGTCCAATGTCTACCATAATATGTTTAGTCTACACAGTGCATTACGAAAAAGTGACAGCAACAGAGGGCCTCGTTTGATTAAAGTAATGAGTTATCTCCAAAGCAGTACCTTAAAGTATTTATTGATGTTAAAGTACCTACTTATCATCATAAAGACAATATATCTAGTTATTCCTTAGCATTGTAAAACCTTTTAGAAAGACTGATGTCTGTGAATCATTTATGTTTGTCAGGGTAAGAAGCTGTTTCCTGATAACTGCATAAAATTCACAAGAACCTTTCTGAGAAATGTCAATAAAGGCTTGATTTTAGACCTAGTTCTGATTCTTCAATAGAAATAAACTAATTTTATTGTCTTGGCATCTTTTTGGGGTCCTCAGAGGAGAAAAAGAAGAAAAAGAAGGAGGAGAAGGAAAAGAAGCTGGTGCAAGATTTGATGGAGAAGAAAATCAACTCCCACTACAAGTCTCGTTTGTCCCCGTACCTTGGCAGTAATGTCACCCGCTTCTCAGTGCCTGATGAGAAAGTTCTGTGGGAGGTGAGTTAGACTACAGGAACGCCTTCATGGGCTAATTGCAACCTAAACATTTGTAGGAGAATGTCTCTCGCATAGAAGTTTGTGTTCTATTGAATTTACAATACTATAGTATCAATGAATCTTTTAGTTTGCAGACATTCCAGAAGGAGAGAAAAGAATATTCTGTAGTGTTTCTTTTGACTCTGAGGAGAACCTTTAATGAAGAGCTTATTGGCATGTGTGTGTGTGTGTGAGTGTGTGTGTGTGTGCGCGCGTGTGTGTGCGTTTGTGTGCGTGTGTGTATGTGTGTGTAATATATATGTGCATTATAATACAGAATTTCTATGATAATAAGAACCTCTTCACTACTCAGTGTGATATTTAACTAGATCTAGCTTATTGTAATCTGTTATATTTGTTTCCTGGGATTAATCATAGCCACATTTCGGGCTATTTAGTTTGTTGGACCCCTTTGTGATTGCTCACAGTTTTCCTGTTCTTGGCCTATTTCACAGATTGAGTTTCCAGACTATGACCCGCCCACTTACACATCTGTGGAGGTTTTAAAGCAACCTGCATACGCTGATGAGGATTTGTTAGCCATGTAAGCAACATCATTATTGTGTCTCGACACAGTGGATTCAGGCGCTCGTCTATTTTTGGGCATATGTGAGGCAGCGTGGTGAAATCAGACATTCGTCAAAATAATAAAATAGAAGAATTGAACATTTTCCCTCTAGTTTGGCAATTTTTATCTAATTTTAGTTTTTTGCCTCTATACCTTTTATGTCCATATTAAAACACATTTCCATGTGTATTTGACTGGAAAGCGTTGCTCAAAGGCACAAAATATATATAATTTTTCAGTTTTCAATGACTCTCAAGCAATTGAAGTTACTGAACTTTGGCAGCATTTTCCTTACTAATTTTATCACTGAAAGCAGGCGACCCCACCACTTTCAATCACAAATATCTCGACCTCTATTCAAAATAGAAATGTATTCTTTTGATTGAAAGCAAGACAAAGGAATAAGCTTTAAGTTGATACCAATAACTCCACATGCTCAAAAATTGACGAGCGCCTGATTCCACCACGCTGTGACCCATATAGAGTTATTAATATCGTCTTGAAGCTTGTTTATTTGTCTTACATTTGGCCAAAAACAAAATACCCATCTATCTTGAATAGATGTCGAGATATTGCTGATTGAATGAGGTGGAGGTCACCTGATTTCAGAGGTAAAATTAGCGAAAAAATTGCTGCCAAAGTTTGGTGACTGCCATAGCTTGAGAGCCTTTTGAAAATGAAAGTTAATTATTTTTTAGCCTTCAATTACTGTAAAATCTACCCAGAAATGTTTTTTTAAATGAACATAAAAGGTGTTGAAACGAAAAACACAAGTTCAATAAAAAATTGTCATACTGGTGGGAAAATGCCGGTTTCTTGGATTTCTTTATTTTGACTAGGGCCTGATTTCACCATGATGCCTGCTCACATCTGTCTAACTCTGTGGTCAATAGACATTTACTTTTCAGTGATTGTTTGATACTTGTATTTCGAGGAATTTGCAAGGCTCACTTTGAAGAGTAATTGAATATTCAATGTATCCCAAGTTGCTTTTGAAAGTTTGAAATATATGTCAGTTTGTTTTACATTAAGGCCTACTTATTTCCATAAAGTGAACTCTTTTGAGATGAGCAAAATAAAGGTCATATTTCCAAACTAATTGAGCTGAGGGTTTTTTTTGTAGGTACAAATTAACATTTTTTTCCTCCCTAGGAGCCCGGAGGTGAGGAAAGAAAGGTATCCTTTCAATCAGTACGACAAGAAGTGTCGCATCAGCCGAGTCAGTCTGTACAAGCCGTACGACGTGGTGGATGGCCTGCCCGTCAACCCCATTGGTCGAACCGGACTCAGGGGGCGGGGTGCTCTGGGCCGTTGGGGCCCCAATCACGCTGGGGACCCTATTGTGACAAGGTGAGGCCTCCTCCTAAATTGTTTGACTTCTACACAAGAAAGGTCAATTCTTTTGGCTCATCTAAAAGGACTTTTGTCCCACCTGTAAGAAGTGTTTTTATTGTTCTGATTTGATAGTAATCATAGTTCTTAAACACTTTGCAGTCTCACAGCCAGCAATGCAAAATACCCCATCTGGTCACCCAGCCAGGAGAGTGACTGCCACTAACTTCTCGGGCCTGGCGCAGAACTGCGCTAGGTGACTTGAACAAATAATTATCACCGGCGCTTTACTACGCCAAGTGACGGCAAAATATTAATTGTGACTATCAGTACTGCGCTCACAGGAATCCACAGTGAAATGATTAGCATTTTGACCATTGTAAGCAGAAGGTTTGACTTTGATACTCATGTGGGAGATTAATTTATAGAGGATCCTGATCTGTCTACTGAGATACTGTCTCCCACTCAACAAGTGTTAACCCTGTCAGGCTGGGTTCAAGCAGCCTGCCTCCTAAAAGATCACAATCAAACTTTTAACTGTCGTTATTAGTGTCATTCGTCACTGTCTCACCTTTGTTGTATTAGTTCTGTCATTGGGTCAAATAATGAGAAGCACATCAACCCAACAGCTAATACGGTAGAGGAGAAAACAAAATATATAGTAAAACCCTGCTAAGACAAACTTCACAATACCAGAGAATTTCTTCCTGTTTGGCAGATTTCATTTAAAGGGAAATTGCAATGTATGGAATGAAAAGTAAATATGAAAACAAGAATTTGAAACACTTTCGTGGTAACAAGAATTATGTGTTAAGAAGCTTCATGTTAATTTTTTAAACAAAGTCTACAGTATATTATATACAAGTTGAGACAAAAGAGGGGGTAGCGTCTTAGTTGCATGACACCCGTGCGCAAAGTAGTCCAGTTAAACTAATGATTAACTAACGTCTTGTCGAGTCTCTACCATGGAAAGAATAAGAGTAAGACTCAAATGGTGTCCTACAACCACCCTCTTTTAAAAAATTTTCTGCAGGTGGAAAATGCTGGATGACGGCACATGTGCCATGAAGGATGGGAAACCTGTGCTACAGTTTGTGGCTGTACAGAGGAAGGACAACTCTCTGTGGTCCATCCCTGGGGTCAGTACACTACACTAATTTTTTAAATTCGTTTTTATCTCATTTTTATTTTACATTTCTTCTTAAACTCTTTTCGCTCCTTGGCACTATGCCGCATTGGGTATCTGTGGTATAGTGGTCAAGCTCTTTCAGCTCATGCAGGAGACATGAGTTTGATTTCCAAGTGGGCAAGTTTTTTTATTGACTATCTCCTTTTGCGTAATGGGATGTGGTCCCAACACTCAGTTCAAATTGGCCCCAACATTCTGGACCAAAGTAGGTAGCTTTCTGTATTGTGTAAATTGTGTCGATGGGGGTGTAAAACACTTACATTTACACTTTCATTACAGTTCTCTAGTGGCTTTGTTTGTTGACTTGAGCGATGAATGTAAAATTGCAGAACAGTACATAAAAAGTTCAAGCTCAAATTTTTTATGTACGAACTGTTATGCTACATGTCATTTTACTGGACAGTGTACGCATCCTTTAATTTGATAGTATGAGAACTGTTTAAATTTCTAGGTGAAATTTTTCTGTCTTTATTCGAGCCAATATGACCACATTATTCAATTGCAATTGTTGGGTTCTAATCATTTAAGTTTGCAATATTAGCCAGGTTTTCAAGGCTTCGGATACCCTGATACCTTAGTTGGTATTATGTAGGATTACTATGTGGATGACACTGGTTTCAATCTTCAGTGGAGCATTCTTCAACTCTTGTTATTTTTGGGAGCTTATTGTAGAGAATGACTCCATTTTTGTCCTCACAGTCTTGCTGTTTGTCAGTTCTCCTTAAATTGTTATGTTGAGGCTTTTATACATTTACAACATTGTTGTAATTTATTACCTGCTCAGGGCATCTGCTCTCCCGGAGAAGAGCCGTGGAACATTTTGAAGGCTGACTTCTCCGAAGACGTTCATGGTACTCTTCTCGACAATCCGGAGGCCAAACGGGAAATCATGGCGCAACTTGACCAGTTGGCAGCCTTGGGGCATGAGGTAAATTATAAATTGTTGGGTATGGAGTTAATCATGAATTGTTGGACATGGAGTTAATCATGAATTGTTGGGTATGGAGCTACTCATAAATTCCAGGGCTTGAGGGAAAGCGTAAACTGTGTCTCGACATGGTTGAATCAGGCGCTCGTCAATTTTGGGGCATACGGGGTTTGTTGGTGTAAGCTTAAAACCTGTTCAACTGCTTTGCGTTTGGTGAAACAAATATCCATCTCTCTAGAATAAAAATCTAGATATTTTTTTATTGATAGAGATGGGGGTTGCCTTGTATTGGAGGTAGGCATATATTTAGCAGGAAAATTGCCTTCAAAGTTTGATGACTTCCAACGTTTTAGTGCACTTGGAAACTGAAAATTTACATTTTTAATGTCTTGGATGAATTACGGTTTTCCTGTAAAATTCATGCAGGAATGTGTTTTTAAATGGACATAAAAGGTGCTGAGCACCCGTTAAATTTCTGTAAAAACTGCCCACTTTGATTTCATTATTTTCACGACCGCCTGATTTCATCATGACACCGCTCAATTATTGGGCTTGATGTTAAATTGTTGGGCATGTGGTAGATTGACCACTTTGTTTTGATCAATGATCTATGTACATGTACAGTCCATGTCACTACATTACAGAATGGTTTACTCTCTAAAAAAAATTAGTACATTAGGTCGACTCCCCAAAAATAGTTTACAATGCACTTTAAGAGACTTTTACCACCAGTGACACCTTCAAACAGCCCGCACAGATCGAAAGAAAAGTAGTATGTCCCACCTTAGTTCTCCTTTTTTTTTTTAGATCTTACTATAGTAATTGAAATTGTTTTATACCCCTAACCAATAAATTGTGTATCACACACCACATCCTTCACTGTCACTGAAAAAGGGTAATCATTTTAATACTTTTTTAAAGTGTGACTCCAAAGAATTTGCCCCTCCTGCTGGTGTGCTATGGGTCTGATTATGACCCCTCCCCCCCCCCCACCTCATTTTACCATTTGAGAGGAGACTTCACAGTGTTTATCTCTTGGTCTACAGGTATACAATGGCTATGCTGATGACCCAAGGAACACAGACAATGCTTGGCTGGAAACACGGGTGGTGAACTACCATGACGCTGAAGGGAAAATCCTACATCATTTCAACTTGAGGGTAACTTTGTTTATTTTTGTCGCTATCACAAAATGCAGTAGAGTCTGCTTCAACAAAACATTGTCAATCCACAAATGACAGTTCACGAAAAGAAAATAGAATCCACGATTTGCTGACTTCGCTGTCTAAGTGATCTCTCCAATGAATTTTGGTTAATTGGTTGAATTGAACTCCTCTGTAATATGTAGTTCTTAGTACTGTCTGTTCTACTTGTTGCACCAACAACCATCTCTCTCTCTGTCTCTCTCTATCTATCTTTCTCTCTGTTTATCTGTCTCCCTCGCTCTCCGCCCCCCTCTCTCTCTCTTTCTCTCCCTCTCCTTCTCTCTTCCTCTCTCTCTCTCTCTCTCTCTCTCTCTCTCTCTCTCTCTCTCTCTCTCTCTCTCTCTCTCTCTCTCTCTCTCTCTCTTTGTGTGTATAATATTGAGCCATTTTCAAATGGTCAGCTGATACCTTTAAGCCCTGGTTCCTTGAGATTTACAGGACATATGCACCAGAACTCCCTGTAGTCGACTGCTAGATTTGCACCATGGTTCACTGAGAAATGCATCTAGTGCACAGAAGCTTAAAGATAGAGTACACTAAAGCATACATTCTGGTCCACAGTTAGTAATTCCTAACTTTGTCAAACAGTCACTTATGAAAGTGATCTTTTTGAGACGCTTTTTTTTAAAAACATGGAGTTTACACAAAGACAGACGCTGTACAAAGGGATGCTGTTGGTTTGCACAGGTATTGTTTTACAATTCTGGCATTATAATGGCCTTACTTTCTAAATTATTCATTCTTTCACCACTCATTATTGGTCTTACAACAATGAATTTACCCAAAATATTTTGCTGTAGCATCCGATCTAGAATCCTTGAGCAGTTTTTGTCATAACAGCATCAAAAGAGACTGTAAACTGTTTCAAATCGCCCCAACATGTCCATTGTGTGATATTGAAGTAGCTGAACTGCATGGTAAGGCCTCACTTGTGGTGTCTTGCAGATAGTAGTTATGGCAAAAGATCTGAACTCTCTATCTCAGAAGGGGATAAACCCACTATGCCAGGGCCCTGTTTTGGTTCGAAATCTAAAACTGACCTATGCATCACTAAATTGGTCTTTAAATCCAAACAAGTGAACCTATTTAGATAGAGCTTGATTTAATCAGTGATCTTGCTGTAAAAGAGGCCTGTTTTTGGCAGTTAACGAAAAGTAATTTGATGTCAAATTCGTCGTAATGGAATGTACCTGAGCCGCTGGCTGCGGCTCACCAGCACAGGACTGCGAGCCGTTGGGAGTGGCTTGCCAGAGATAAAGAGTCAAAATCTGGCTGAAAATAGCAAAGGTAGTGTAAGTTAAGCATGTGAGGATGCTCCATCAAGACAGCCATGATAGACAATATCATATTGTTGTGATTGTTATAATTTCATCACGTTATTTTGACTGTTAAGCACAATATTGTATAACAAATTTTTCTATGGCAACGTTTGTTATTCTTTCTATTTTTTTTTCTTACCAGGCTGGTGATGAAGTTGAACTGGTGACCTGGCAGACTATTGGGAGCCACTCCAATCTTCATGGCGCCCACTCTTTCTTCCTCAAGCTGGTGGCTGACAGACACCAGGCGGCGTTTTGACCTCGTCTCATGGTCTTAATCCTCCTCGTGCCTGTCACTTCCCCCCCCCCCCCTCCCCCCATGTGAAGTCTGCAGTTTTTGGAACAGCGTTATGAGTCATATCGTTGACGTACTACAGTATCCTCATGACTGTTGTGTCTGACTGGCAGGACTGCAAGTGCTGTTTTGCAAGGGGTCTGGTTGGTGTCTTTTGGCGTCTAGTCAAGGTAAACTGTTGGGTAAAAAGTGTACAGGTATTTATGAATGGGAGACAGGTACCAAGCGAGAGTATTTGCAGATTCGGAGCGCATAGATGCACCATAAGCAGGACATAGTTTTAATTCTGCGCTTCACATTTGGCTGTGATTTGTTTGCAAAACACGTAGAGTAAAACTTTTGGCTAAATGCGATGAAGTATTTCATCTACTTCGATGAAGTATTTCATCTACTTCGATGTTCTACGGATTATAGATGCTTTTGTGATGGATTTGTGCCTTTGTCATAGAGTCATGTAGAGCTGTAGTTACGTGTCGTAAAAATACCTGACCTCTGTGTCAATGTTTCTTGTTACCATCACCTCTCACCATGTTATTGTATTGTTATTTGAATACGTTGGAGTCTGCTTAAAGCGAAATGTGTGGGACTGCCGAATTTTTGTTTGGATTAGCCATGTTTTCAGTTCAGAGAGATTGCTCAAATAGCGAAGAAAAAATCAGGGATTCTGTTTTATATTAGCGCATTCAGTTTAAGCGTACTCCTTTGTATTTTCCTTGTTATATACAAAATAGACTCTCGAGCCATGTGAGAATTACTAATTTTATGTACATGATATATACATGTTCTATTTTATAGCAAGTTTGGACCATTCCTTTGTGTGCAAAGGGTATTCTTTTGATACTTTAATGTTAGTCGTTTGATTGGTAGGCCTTTAAGGTTAAAAAAATCACTGACAAAAAGCAATGTTTTTCTTAACTTCATCTTTTAAAAAAATTTTTGTTCATGTTGTTACATTCCCTAAGTATGTATTTATCAGGGTTTTACAGATTTACAGACGAAAATCTTTACGCTATTGTGTGTGGCCCCCTCTGAAAGTTACTTTACCTTTTGTGCATTATTGAATTACCAGTCGCACCATGAAAGCCTGCTTTGAGGACACAAAACTTTTCTTGCATTCCACATGTCTCTCTCTCTCTCTTCTCTCTCTCTCTCTCTCTCTCTCTCTCTCTCTCTCTCTCTCTCTCTCTCTCATCTCAAAGCTACAAATATTTTATGTCTACAGTCTAGGATGGTACAAAAACTAGATCTATTGATAGACCTAATGTCTGAACACATCCCCAGAAAGTGTATTAGTAGGTGAAGGTCAGGATGGATCCATTCAAGGTTGTCATGTACATCCTGAGGGAAAAAATATTGAGAACAATTAACAAGTGGTCACTTCTCAGCTCATTTAGGCAATGTAGACTATCCTGTATAAATTACTTGGCATATTATTAATTATTGTAGGATTCAGATGTAAAAACACTTTTTCCTTTAAACTACCTATCTAAAAGTATATAGTTTGTTCTTTTGGTCTATGATTTTGTGGTTAACTCTTTCCGGACGTATCGCCGATATATCGGCTCGAGTCCACACCCCTTCCAACGTATCACCAATACATCGGCTGTGATAGGGTGCTTCAGTTTTGTTTCGCTTTAACACGATCCTTCATTTCTTTTCATTGCTATTGAAAACCTGGGAAAGGATTTAGGAAACGAAAATATCTAGTTTCACTTTGTCAAAACGTGGGTTTGGGGAAAAACGAGTGAATTAGTTCTTGCGGTCTTGCATCAACAAAATGATGTAACCGGACTCAGTATAACTATTATAACTCAAACAAAAATTGTAATATTGCTTTCAACTATAAAGCTGCGCATTCAGAAATTTATGAATTATGCTCTTAGCCTGTATATGATAAGATAGCTATGCTGATTTGCTTTCATATGTTTGGTGAATTTATTTTTTCCGTCAAAATTTATTTTTCTCATCACCATCGCTATTTTTAACCCTTCTAATGCATACTTATGTTCTAAATTAATCCTTGTTTCGTATTGGGATGTATTCCTCATTCTATTTCCTTCAATTTGGTATATCATATGTTACGCTTAGGAAGTTATTTTGTACACCACCTGCATAGCCAAATCGAGCCACATGTTAATTATGTCTAGACCCCCCAAAAAACTATGTCCGGAAAGAGTTAAGCCATAGTTACAGAACTTTGTACTTGTAATAGAAAACTGTGCTTTGATAGCTTTGGCAACGTTTGCTGAGTTATTAGATGTGGGATGGGCAGGGATAAATGTAATTCCCTCAAAATAAATAGTTTCCTGTGACCATTGCAGGCTGGACTTCAGTTTCTCTGCTGTCTGGTACATTTTCTGGCTTCACAATGCCTCATTTGGTTTTTAGTCATAGGCCCCTATGTTTTTCTGGCGTAAATTCTTTTCAGATGGCATACTTTTCAATTTTGCTATTGGAACTGTCACCCGACAAGTATTCTCACTTTCTGCCTCGCTATCTTTATAAAAAGAATTACTCTATCTAATCCATTCCAGATTATTTCAACTGATCGTAATGCATTAAGGGAAATATCGAGGAGACATTTTTTTCTGACCGAACAGCCATTGAGCCTGCTAGTTTTTACTTATATTCCTGGATCGATGTAATAATTTCATGTTGCCATAACAAAACTGACCAGTATATGAGGGGAGTTCACTGCTGGAGCGCTCAGCATTGAAAGAGCGAATGAAACACAAAATGTAAACCCCAAAAGACATTTACACTTCTGCTTTCAACCCACAATTTGTGTCTAAATTTTGTCAATGATAAAAATTAGGATTTTTTCGAGGCAAAATGGAAGCGCTGCTGTCAAGGGAGATACAGTAGGCCTACTATTATGAGCACTTTTAATCCGGATGTTTCCCTTGGACCATATTTGTGACAACTGATCATGGTTATCGTTGATACTTATTTTTTCTTTCTTTACCTATGTTGATTATTATTGATAGAAAAGACAAGCGGTTTTTTATTTGTACTGTCTTTAGCAGGCTTGGAAATTGGATTTGGGGTTTTTGTTATAACTGTTGTTCTGTTATTTTTATCTTATGAAAGTGAACAAGAAAAATGTATACCAATAGGTTTCTTTATTTTTAATTTTTGCACAACTGTGGCTACACAGTGATCACGGATGAAAAGTGATGATGTTGGCTGTGATGCTGCAAGCCTTTAATGCTTGTATAAATATGTCATTGGTGCTTTGAAAAAGCTAAAGGAATGTTATAATATTCTTTACTCTATAACTGAATTGTTCCATCGATGAAAAGATAAAATTGTCACAGGCAAAAAACTTGATTTTTTAATAAAAATTAGAACAAAATTATTTGTATACAGTTCATCAGTAAAAAAACTGTATTAAGATTATCTTTGAACTCAAAGCGAGTTTAAAACTTTTTGGGGGACTGAAATCAGATTGTAGGCTTCGCTCTCCTCTTCTTATATGAATTGTTGACCGAGGAATTGTGTATCTCCTCCTTTTGTTATGCACTTGATGTTTTAAAAAATTTTTCATTTATTATTGTTTGCCATATTCCGTTGTTCTCTCTATGCCTACTTTTTTCTCTCAGCGAATCTTGGATGTACTGCTGAAAGAAAAGTACAAAAGTGGCCTCATTTTGCCATAACTTTTGTCTACAAGATGCCAATGGAATGCCTTACCATGCTGTTGAGATCACTGAATATGAAATATGGACTTGTCTTTGTGATCTGCTATTGTGTCTTAAGCTTGCGAGGATGGGTATTCTGAGAGGTTTGTTAGGCCTACTTATTACAAGAACAGTTTGTTAATTCCATTTCATGATGGTTCATTTTGGTTAGAACAATATTTGAAATGTTGGATGATGTAAGAATGGTGAAATGACTTATTTTTAATGAGGTTCTGTTTCTATTATAACGCCAAAATTGTGATTTTTACCTGTACTATACAAAGGCAATGTTATGTTCTCCAGTATATGCAATATCCAGTTGTTGTCTTCTGTTGTTGTAACAGTAGATTGAGCTATTGGTCCTTCCTCTAAGTGTCAAATATTCCACTACAACATTCTCCAATCAATGATTGTTTCCTCCATCATCACAATACCAGTGTCTGTGCTGTCATGGTGAAGTGCTTTGCTGTTCCAACCAGTGAATGTGAGTTCGGTACCCTCATGGGGAAGTTTTTTGTGAGGCATCATTGTGAAATCAGGCGCTCGTCAAAATAATGAAATCGAAGGTATCTGCATTTTTCCTCCAGTTTTACAATTATTTTCTAATTTTTATTTTTTGGCTCAACACCTTTTATGTCATTTTCAAAACATATATCTGTGTGGATTTTACTGAAAAACATCGATTAAAGGCTCTACAAATGTAAATTTTCATTTTTCAGGGACTCTCAAGCTTTTGCAATCACCACACTTTGGCAGCCATTTTCTCGCTAATTTTACGTTTGAAACCAGACAACCCTGAGCTCCTTCAATCACAAATATCTCGACTCCTAACCAAGATAGGCATGTTTTTTTTTTCATTTAAAAAATGGTCAAATGAACAAGGTTTATGATAATACCAGTAATTCCAGATGCCCAAAAATTGACATGCGCCTGATTCTACCATGTCGTGATACATATTATTGAGTGCCGACATAATAATATGTCTACGGGGAGGTTGTATCCCACTCAGTTGGCTCAGTTTAACCCTAAGAGACATGACTGAAACCACCTGGCTCTTGAGTAACCCAAATGTGAGGCATTGTGGTAAAATCAGGCTCCCGTCAAAATAATGACATCTAAGAAATCGGCATTTTTCTGCCCATGTGGCAATTTTTATTGAACTTTTGTTCTTTTGCTCAACACGTTTCATGTTCGTGTAAAAAAACATTTCTTTGTGGATTTTTACAGGAGAACGTTGATTAAAGGCACACACAATGTAAATTTGCCGTTTCCAGGGACTGTTATGCTAAGCTTTGGAAGTCACCAAACTTTGGTCGCCATTTTCTGGCTAATTTTATCCTCTGAAACCAGACTATCTACACCTCGTTTAGTCACAAATATATTGACTTCTTTTCAAGATAGATTTTTTCATCGAAAGCATAACAAATGAAAATGTTTAAAAATGAAACCAATAACTGCACATGTTCAAAACTTGAGGAGCTCCCAATACCACCACGTCGCAACACAAATTTTGTTGATGGGGCCATAAGACGTTTACAGTCAATGTTGAGATCAATCACTATCATGATGACTTTCCCTTTCGTCATTAAGGAAAAGACACATGTATGCATGAAAATAACTGAACATCTGTGTTGTAAAATGTTGATGCGTTTGAGGAGATTTTTGTCTGTTTTCTCCTATTTTTAAAGTGTTTACTTATTGCAGAGTAGAATTATACATCAGTTTTGCTTGCATCTTGTACTTTGTGTCATTGTTTCATGTTTTCTGTTCACTGTGCTTCACAGTGCCAGTTTTGATTTTGGGGCAAAAGTTTTATTGGTACGACTATTTCAATCTGTGTTTTAGACAATTGCTTACAAAAAAGTTTTTGTACTGTGGATCGCGCCTTGTGAATGTGTCCTTCTCGTTGGTACTTTAAGCTTGTTATCCCGTGACTTCATCTCTTCACATTTTCTCTCTATTCTATCCTTTCTTTCTCTCCCTGTCCCCTCTTTCCTTCTTTCTCTCTTTTTCTTTCTTTCTGTCGCTTCGTCCAGACTGTTTTGCAGAGACTAAAGTTACCTGTGTTTAATGGCTTTGCGAATCTGTCTTTAAACCAATTAAGCCTGGTTACATTGTTGAGGCATTTTCTTTATTGTTAATGCATAATATGACTTTGGTGTATAGATTATTCATTTAGTTTTTGCTTTCCAAGTTTTTAACTCTCAGTAAAAATAAACAGCATGATTTTAATAAGGAATATTTTACACAAAAAATAAGATTGATTATACCTATAACCCCCTGGGGCAGTGCTACTGACTGAAGTGTCTTTATGCCGTTCCTAAAGGGGAAACATTAACATGTTCTTATACACTGTAAAGTTGTAAATGGGCTGATTCATCAATGTCATGCTCATAACTGTGCCTGTACTGCAACAGGGAACTGCTGCTTTTTCTTTCCTATTCCTTACTATCATCATTTTTCCTCTACTTCCTTTGTATGTTTGTCGCTCTCTTATGACCCGATATTTCCAGGATGCCTTGATAGTCAAAGCAGACTTTGTGTTGTTGAAGCTAGAAAGGTGAGCAAAGTAAGCCTGATTCCCTGTGAGGACCACTCTGTTAATATCCACCCCTTGGCGCTCATATGACCGTATACAGTTGTGAGCTCTGTAAAACCTCTACTAAAACTGAATATAATATACCTATATAATATCAATAAAAAGTGAATATTATACTTTTCTTAACCTTGTTAAATAATATATAATGACCAAATCACTTTCATTGGTGGCCGTTTATGTTTTTTTTTCAGGCAAGAGGGCTTGTTACTTGTGAGTCGAATATTTGATGCAATATGATGATGAGTGTAGAATGAAAAAAACTGTATTGTAATTCTAAATTCTGGATACTTTTGGACCCAATGTAAAGCTGAAATTTGTTAGAAGTCTATTGGAACAAAATAATGCTAATTGTTATGTTTCGCTCATGACTTGTCTTTCAAGTGTACCCGAGATTTTGAATTTATTTGATGAGTTGTTTTTTTCTTCAGTTGGGGTAGGGGTAT